AGGACCAAGAAAACAGAATAGTACAGTCAAACCTGCTCTAACGGGCCACCTATAATAACATGAGACTGTACACACTGGTAATCCATGTTATCTTCTCCACCCCTCCCCCTTTCCCCGAGCCTCTCTTTTACATTATAATGACACTGTGTAAGACCTCCACCTGAATTATACAGCCATTTTCCTCCTTGACAGACAGTGGCCGTCTTGGACAATTCCAACTGTACTTGTATAAGTGAGACCACCAAAGCTTTAGTTTAGTTTTAGTAGAGATTTTACGGCTCTCCCAACTGCATAAGGTCACATGAGCGCCAGAAGATTAGAGGTGTTACTAGAGAGTAACAGATATAAAAAAGAAGAAGGGGAAATAAGGACGATAGATGTTTCATAGGAAAGAAGAAGCAAACCATACCAGATGAGCATCCGCCAACCACCCACTCCACCCAAGCTTACACATGCATACACACAAACGCAAACAATTACCCACTAACAAACACATAAATCTTTTTTTCCGAATGCAATGAATTACACCGGGTTTTGTTGTTGTTGTAGTTGTCTCCCCTGTATCTACTGTGACCCACAAACACATACATCTTTTCCGAATTCAAAGAATTGTATCGGTTTTGTTGTTGTTGCAGCTGCTGCTTCTGTTGCTGCTGCTGCTGCTGCTGCTGTTGTTGTTGTTGCCCAGTGCCAACTGCGACCCAAAAACACATATATCTTTTCCGAAGACACTAAGTAGTATGTTTTGTTTTGGGTCGTTTGTTTTCCCCCCAACATCTACTGCGACCCACAAACACAATATATGACACAATATATGCATATATATAATGCATTTGTATCCACTTGAAACTGTATTAATTCTCTGTTCGTTTTTTTTTTTTTTTAAATATAAGCTTAAAATTCATTTATTATTATTTTTCAATGTTTACTGCGTCTCGTTCTATTGCCGCGGAAGACACGGAAAAAGCGAGGGATTTTACCTGTATTGTTCATCAAACAATGGACTGTCTGGCAAAGGACTAAAGAGCACATCCTGGGTTGAGACATGATGATTAGTTTCTTTATACAGTAATCGATACCAGCTCTTCAAATTTATCCCCTCTGCCTTCACAAGGCTAGATGCTAATATAACAAGCCTACTCTTTATAGAGTACACGCTAATGATAGCCGTCAGCTATGACACCGATTTGTTTCTTTCTACTTGGGACAAATTCCTCCACGCCTCTTGGCAGAGGTGCAATTAAAGATGCCCAGAATGAAGCATAAATCGAAACATTAACACAACCTCTACAATGCTTTATGGGTTGCAATTTTTAAGTGTAGTTTCAGTAAGCATTAAACCGCACTTTAGTTTTCGTAGATGTTTTACGGCGCTCGCAACTACACACGGTCATAGGAGCGCCAAAAGATTAGAGGTGTTACAAGAGAGTAACAAACATAAAACAGAAGAAGGGGAGATAAGGACGATAGATGTTTGATAGGAAGGAAGAATCAAACCACACCAGAGCACCCGCCAACCACCCATGCGCAATTAAAGATGCTCAGAATGAAGCTAAAATCGAAACATTAACACAACCTCTACTGTGCTTTATGGGTTGCCTTTTTAAAGTGTGGTTTCAGTAAGCATTTATAACCGCACTTGCGACCCAATTAGGTCATATTTAAAGCCGAAGATTAAAGGCGTTACAAGAGAGTAACAAACCTAAACAAAAAGAAGTAGGAGAGTTGATAAGGACGATAGACGTTTGATAAGAAAGAAGGAGCAAACCCTACCACCAGAGCAACAGCCAACCACCCACGCGGTGATTTTAAATCACCCTCAATGTGTCAATGTGCTCATTACTTATTATCGACGGTCTGT